CTGCACTGTGCAGGCTCACAGGGAGGAAAATGTTGAATTCTCTCCCATTGCAACAAATCTGAAGGCAAAGTTGTGGCAGAAGTTTTTAATCAAATAATCTAGTATCTCAAATAAACAAACTCCACACTTTCAGCTTTACAGTAGTCATAGTCTTACTGTTAGAAGGATACAAAATGTGGCTTCAGGACTGCTTTAGGCTAGAACATCATTGCCCACTTCAGATTTTCTAGCCCTGTGGTTTTGCGGTGATATAAGAAACATTTTCAGCTTTTCTATGTAATCAGTCTTTTCTGATTTATGAGGGATTTCTCTGTGCACATTCCATAAATTTAGTGCTGATTTTATGGGGATGATATGACATACACAGTGGCCCTTTGTGTTGGACAGATTTTATACTCTACACTTTGCTCTAAACTGTGCCTCTGTCCAAGTCAAAAGAATGAGGCGACAAGCATTCAGTGTTTGGTACAATTACCATGGTTGCGTGTGTGTGTTTGTTGAGGGCAGGAAGGAGGGAGAAAGGGAAAGAGAGAGAGACAGAAAGAGAGACAGGGAGAGAAACAACATGCTGCCTCAGGCACATGTAATCAAAAGAACTGCAGATAAAAGACAGATCCAAGAGGCTGGATTAGAGTTGACAAGAGGACAGGACTTAACTGAAAGACTTAACTGGAGGATTAAGTCTCCCTGCTCATCAAGTTCTAGACTGACAGGGTGAAGGAAGGGGCTTTGTCAAGCCCTTAATAAACTAAATCTGCCATGAGAATTAGGGGATGGAAGCCTGTGCCCAATTCCTTTTTCCCTGCAGACACCCTCCCTCCCCATAGAGGAAAGTCTAAGAACCACCGGCCACGGCACACACTGAGGAAGGAAAGAGAATCCAGGTGGGGGGTTGAGCACAGTGTCAGCTGAAAACATTACAAAGAAAGAAAAAGACAGTGGGACAGTCTCAAACACGGAAATCCTAGCCCAGGCACAATATTCTCTACATCTCCAACTTTCCCTAAGTCCCTCCTTGACCTCAGCCTTGGTAGGAACCTAAGCAGTTCTCCCCCTCAAAACATACTTTACCTTCTTAGTAGCCACCAATACTCATTCTCTCCCACCTTACACACATACTGTGGGCAGGGAGGACCCTCTACATCACATGGCTCCCACTGCCCCTTCCACGTGATCATACCCTCCAACGCTCTGCAGAAGCCCTTGCTGGCCAGCTCATCATCTTGGCCTCAGAGACCTGCTCTCATTCATCATTTTCTCCTCCCAGGGAGTGGCAACATCCAAACTAGGGACTCAAGCTCAGAGGTGTGTTAGATGCCACCTTGGTCTAATACTGCCCATATCCAGGTGATCATGAAGTCCTTTGCAGACTACCCTAGGCATCTCTGGAATACCTCCCACCTCTCTTCTCAACCAACGGTCACAGACCAGATCTTTCAGGTCTTATGCTTAGGCCAGAATGGGAAGAGCCTTGAAAAAGGTACACCTGGATCCAATTTCAGGCCATAGCCACATTCTCACCGCCAAGACTTCACTTGGTCAGTGTTCCAGCAGCTGAACTGTGGAGAGAAAGTGCTGTGGGTGTTGTTTTTTCAGCCTTTGAGCCCTAAGGACACACAGTTAACTGAGTGTTTTTTATTGCCTTAATGTTTACAACTAAGCCAACTATGGTGGGCAGATATGACCAAGAGAACAAAGATGAACGTCCAAGATTCCATACCCAACTAGCAGACCACGTATGGAATAGGCATAGGTGTCGTTGCTATTAAAATGCTCTGGCTCCCCTTCATTCGGACAAAAACAAAACAGAGTCTTGCTAGCAGCTTCCCAGGGACCAGTGCTAATAATATGTGATGAAATGATCTTTAAATGTGTCACTGTTCTCAAAATCTAATAATGGCCAACTTCAAACAGTGTAAGACAAGCTTCCTGGACCAGGTGAAAGCTTCAAGAGAGAATTTAATTTCCAAAAAGACTTTACCCTGAGCCAGATCTAAGGGAGAATGCAACTCTGCATCTCAGAAAAGGACCCAAATGTAGATTCAGCTCTGAGTACAAAAGCCAGCAGTAAGAATACAATTTTCATGGCACATGTAGACAACACAACCAGGCTGGTCCTGAGAAGCCATCCAGGGAAAGCAGCAGTAACCAAGAGAGAAATTCTGAGCAGTCTGTTTATATGTAGTATCTGCAGGAAGATTGCGGCTCAGGAAAACAAAACAAAAAAAAACAAAAACACAAAAAAACACACCTCATCTCAGGCTAAAATAGTCATTAGTTAATCAAAAGCTCAGACTTTTAAGAAGAGGGATCAATAAAACCATAATTATTGAGAATTTTCTATTAAAAAGGCAACAGTAGCAAATTAACGCTATCAAACTGTCCTCTAAAGGTGAAATATTTAGTCAATTAACCAGTTGTTTTAATTAGCACAATGCCAAGTAAAAACAGCTACAAATCCTTTTTCTGAATCTGTTTCATTAACTTTCTGGCTCTGCTGTAAAAGTTAAGATAAATTTCGCAGATCCAAGATTATAGCAAAAACTCGACTTAGTGAAACTTCAATGAAAAAGTTACTATCTCCCCTGATTATAAAACAAAAATTTAAGAAGGGTCTCAATGTAAAGAAGTCAAATAGAAGAACTCAGCTATAAAACAGTCAGATTAAAAGGAACCCATCAAAGAACCTAATCCTGGACTTCAAGCCAAAGAAAAAGCAAATATAATGAACCAAAAAGTCAGGACATCAGGAAAAAAGATCAATTATTAACCAAATCACCAAATCCAAAGAGAAGAGAATTCTTACTATTCAATTACCTAAACCACTGAAGTGGTTTCCAAAGCATGTGTCCTCACAAGATCACACACGCCCTGGTAGTGAGCACATGCCAATCAACACCAAATAGTTATATGACAGGTTTTATAATATACAAAAAAAATCTGTTACTTGAAATCTAAGTATTTTAAAAGTAATTCATACTCTGTATTTGGCCTACCTCACTATTTGCCTGGCAACTACAAAGGAATTTAGGTTACTAATAATAAATAGTATCTGGCTCTTCTGGAATGAAAAAGATAGACAGCTATGTGTTTTAAACTATTTACTTCACTTTAACTCCCAGATATAAAGGCACAGAAGTAGTGACAGATTGTGTCGGGAAATGACCCAAGGGCTCTACCTTGCCAACTTCATACTTCTTTCACCTTTGAAGACCTGACCTTTTTCTACAGCAAGTCATTCCACATTAGTCCCGCATCCGGAACAATACCCGCAGACACAGCCACCAAGAGCAAGGACAGCGGAACAGTGTGCTTGGACCGTGATGTCAACGAGCTGCCACCAGGGCCCCCCCACCTGGACAGCAGCATTTAGTGGCCAACTCCCAATAATATGTTGTAGAGAAGGAAAGAAAAGGAACTGAAATATTTTGAAACTAACACCTTCTACTCTCAACCCTGACCTCACATAAACCCATCTTCATCTCTGCATTGAGGAAGGGAAAAAGAAATGGAACCAGAAGAGAAAAAGGCAATAACAAAGAGAGGTGCAACACAGAACATTGACTAAAATCTCTGAAGTCTGATTGACTTGGGTTTGAATATGGCTCTGCCGCTAAACAACCTTCCGTTAGATCTTGGCCACTATGCTTAATCAACATGAACTTCTGTTTTCTCATGTGTGAAATGGGGTTAATAATCCCTCCTGGGTAGTTGTGAGGAATTAAAAAACAGTAAGTATGTGAAGCATTTAGTGTGCTACCCACCACAGGGGAGATGGTTGATAGAAAGTAGTTATAAAAAGGGGCGGGGTGCGGGGCAGCGGGGATGGGAAGAGACTTTCAGAGAAAAAGTCTCAGGGGTTCAAAGATCATTCTAAACTCACTCAGAACATTCTCATTGTCTTTAAAATCATCTGAAAACATGTCCTAATCACCTACTGTATAATTAGCCTGAGCTTCATTCAGAAATGAATGTGCCCTCATCCTCTTCCTCATGCTCAAGGTACAGTTCAGGAAACAGAAATGGTACACATGAAATATGTCAAAAATAACCTAAACTGCGCTAATTGTTAACTAGTTGACATGTAGTAATGTAAGTGCTGCAGCAATTTGGAGAAGGGGGCCAGTGTGGACTGACTGGTGGAAGGGGGAAATTTCCAGAAGGGGTGGTGGCAACATGAATGGACATTTAGAAGGGAGGGCATGTCAGGCGAAAGAAAGTGCGTCCTGGTTCTAGTTTTGCTGCTGAAACACGGGTGACATGAGTGGGGGACTGTGGAGCGAGGACAGCGTGGATTAAGGAGGGGACAGGCAAAAATCAGTGAGCGTGGGAGCCATTTGAAGCACAAAATGAGTGGGACTTTGGAATTAAATATGAAAAATAAAGGAGAAAAGTCATTTTCAGGCAAAGTGTATTCCTGTCTACCTTTCTGGTATGTCTTAAGAGGAAGCAAAATCATGTTCTTCTGTTTCCTTAGGGAAAGGCTGGCATCGAATTTCTTGATAACCGGGCTGCACAGGACAGGGTGTACAGGTGTTGGCAGTGCTGGGTCCAGAGCCCAGCTCTGCCACTGCCTAGCTGTGCAACCTGGCCAGGCAAGCAAAGGCAAGCAAAATGCCGTTCCAGGCCTCAGTCTCCTTATCTGTAAAAGGGGGGAGTCCTTATGATACTCCTCTCATAAACTGTTGAAAGGATAAGTGAATCAACACATTTAAGAAATTCCTCAATTGAGAAGCACATAGAAAACAGAGGCTGGTGCATAGGAACAAATCCACAGAAGTGGCCAATTATCACTGTTATTATTGTATCTATTACCTTTCATCTTTAGCTAGAAAACAGCCACAGAAATTTCAGAAAATCATCTCACACGTGACTAAGGAGGAGGTATCAAGGGGAAGCCCATCTTGAAACTGCAGTTCCTCCAAAACTACCGTCAACAGTGATGCCCCCAATGAAAGACTCAGACAATCCAGTCTCACACAGAGGGTCCCAGCCCGTACCTGGCTTGGTGAATGGCCTCCATCCACTCCTTACCATCCTGCTCCTCCTCACAGCGCAGCTCCAGTGGTTTCTGACCTTCATGGCCAAAAAGGACAGTGAAGTAATACTGGAGAGGAAAACAAACAAACAAACAAACAAACAAAAAATTTAGTTTTATTTTTCAAGCATGACAGCATAACAACATGGTATTTCCCTACAAAAGGTATATGTTTACAAAGCACATTTGAATTATGTAAATAATATTTCAAAATGTAACATCACCCCCAGTCCAGCTGGCAATGACTCTGCACCTAGGAGATACCATAGGTCACATCTTAACACCCCTCCGTAAGAGTCAACACATGACCTCTCACTGGATGCTGAAAAAGTATTTGAGAAAACTCTTCACAAACACATGACAAAAATTCCTTACAAACTAGAAAGTGAAATTTCTGAGCCTGATAAAGGATATCTGCCAGGAATTTACTACAAATATTTTACCTAATGGTGAACTATTACAAGCAACCCCATCTAAAATTATCACCACTTCTATTTATCAACTCTGTCTGGAGGGCAACATAGCAAAATCAAAGGAAAAGGTACAAGAAATGGAAAGCCAGGAAATAAATCAAATTCACAGATGATATAATTATCCCCATTAAAAAGTCATTGAAAAGTTATCACAATAAGAACACCCAGCAAAACTGTGAAATATAAAATCAATATACAAAAATTTGTTGCACTTTGGCACTACAACAACAACAAACAGGAAGCTTAATCTTGGAAACACAGCATTTGCAATAGGAAAGAAATATAAAAAATACTTAAATCTAAAAAATATGTTTATCACCTCTAAAAATAAATTAATCTATTATAATTTCAATACATTTCAATAAATAAGTTCTTGTGGAATAGGTTGTTTCTTGTTTTGTTGTGCGTGTGTGTGGAATTTGAAAAACTAAATCTAAAATCTCAGTCAGGGGTGGGAGAAGATTTCACTTTAAACCAGCCTACTCCTGGCTGGGTATGTTCATCACCAAGCTGAGACTTTCCAGGAAGGAAATGGGACTGGAGAGTGTTTTATTATGAGAATGACCAGCACCTTCACTGGGCCTACCCACGACTTCGCCCTGGGGCACAAGAAGAACCAGCCCCCCGGAGCAGCTCCGAGCGGGAGAACCAAAGGCCAAAACACAGAGTTCCGTCGGTTGTCCCACCCAGCACACTGTTCATTTGTGGGACCGTTAAACACTCAAACGAATTAAAAACTTTCAGGACAACAGTTCTGGAGATTTTTTTACAAAAAAAAAAAAGTACCTAAGAAACTTTGCAGGTTACCTGAGCATAAATCAGCAGTGGACTGAGGACTCTGGCTCCCACCTGTGATAATCATGGCGCTCCCCCACGGCAGGCCTGAGCCCCGTAGATGACAAGCTGTCGTTAGTCCTTAAGGACACCTCTTGTCCAGCCAGAGGGCTAAATGCTATGAATTAGGGGAAATAATCCGGTGAAAAGGCCACTGAGAATGGGAAGAACTGAGTTTAACACTGTGTTCAATAAATGTTCATTTAAATTTGGGAGACAAAGAATGGAAACGGAATAAAATAACAAATCAGTGGCTTAAAGGGCAATCCTATAAGTGATGGCATTTCAACAGCTTCTGGCTACTACCCAAGCCCTGATGCGCAGTCCAGGGGGAGGAAACAATTAATGAACTGGCCCCAACTATTGAAAGACTACAGCCAGCACCTCCACAGCAGCTGCTGCTCAGCAACACAATTAAAAGCCGCCTTTAAAAGACAGCAAGGCAATTATGCTCACAGAGTACATCCAAAGGTTAAGCCATGTCTCAGGCATAACAATGAGGGAAAGAATTTTGAGAACTACATGTTATGTTTCCAAAATTTCAATTTAAAAATTCAGTTCAACCACAAAAAAATAAACACTGCCTCTGCATGTACCTGAAAATTATTTCTTTTTAACCACTCATCAAAGTTTTCTTTGCATCGTCTGGACACGCTGTGATAAGAACCTTGTATATACCGAGGATTTATGTCTCCTGGGGGTGAACAGCCACAGCAGACATCTGTGACAGCACAGTACCTGTGTCCTCTGACCTTCCTACTTCAGGAACTAGAAGTCCCCACTACTAAGTCATCATGAGTGCAAGGAAGAACTAAAATAGAGCGATAATCATGTTTATGTCTTTAAATTCAACATCTACAATGATAGTGATTTCTCTTTTTTTTTTCTCCCTGGATGGTCTCACCTATTTCCAAATCCGTTTCCCCTGGCAGATTCTCTCTCCTGGGGCGGGGGCGGGGCGGGGGGGGGGAGGGCAAATTTCTCCTACGAGACAGCATGCCCAAACCAAACCTTCCTTCCCTCCCTCCCACCCCCTAATGCCCTTCCTCCAACCCCCTGCCCTCACAACTGTTCCTTCTCCTCCTGTCTTTTCTCTGTCAAGTACATCTTCATCCAACAGTTGTCCCAACCAGGAACATGAAAGTCATCCCGAGCTTCTCCCTGTCATGAGCCCCACATTTGGTTTCACCAATGCTCCTTCCTAGGACTCTCTTCTGGCTTTTATTGTCCCTCATGTAGACTACTGTAACTGTTTATCACAGAGGATAGACATGACAGCTTTGAAATACTGTCCGACTTAGACTTCTTTATCTTACGGCTGATTCCTTGTAGCTTGGCCGCTATTGCAGCCCAAAGCAGAAGCTTAACAGTCCCTCCAGAAGGAGGACAGGATGACCTGGAGAAGTCCTGGTGAGCTGGGAACACAAGGAGAAGGGTGGAGAGAAGAAGAGGCCAAGGTAGATACAGAAAAGAAAAGGAGGTGGAGACCATGGAGTATAGACACTCAGGGCTAAAAACCCAGAAGAGGGTGAGGTGTTAAAGGGACTCATGACAAAACCAAAAGCCAAAGAGTTTCTGTATCACCTTACCTTTGAGGATCTAAAGGATGTCATCCTACAGACTATCCTCTCTCTCCACCCCATCCTCATGACAACATGGGGTGGTGACCCCATGGGTAGTGACCATATCATGGAAATCAGTAAAACTGGTATAAGAACATTAGGAAAATATAGGGTCTAAGCTATCCAGAGCCTCAATAGCTTCTAAATGGTGTGGACATTCCCAAGTTGAACTATGGAGGACTGTGGGGGAAGGTCACTGTCAGACCTCATGGGGGTGCTATGCAGTCCCAGCAAGAACCAAGGTGGACCAAGTGAGCAAAATGGACAACCAGGCCCTGACCACAAGTTACAGCTGATCTATACTTCAGCAGCAGATACCACAGCTGCTCGAGGCAGAGCCAAAACAACACCAGACCCCAGTCAGCACCAGCCGGGACCCCCCCAAACTCTGACACACACACACAAGATCTCCAGGACATGTGAACCCTGCTTACTGAGGCACCATCTTAGTGAGGTGCAGAGGGAAAAATGGACTACTAGAATATTTTACATTATTGAAGCTGACTAAGTTTACTACCCTCAGCTAAATGTTTTTGTCTCCATTTATTAAGTGGGGAAGGGATCTTAAGGAGAAAGTCAGGTCAAATTTAGAAAAATGCTTTCTTTGCACATCTGAGTGTAGTGAGGATAAATCTTTGACCCTACCTCTCGTCTTACCCAAATCCCTCTATCCCAAGCTATGCGGCCAGAGTTCTCTTTCTTAAAAAATCAATCAATCTGAGCTTTCATGTCTGTTTACAAACCTTGCTGCTGTTTTCCTGCTCTAAGAGCACGTTTTACACAGGATGAAAACACTTCACAAACTAGCCCCATTTTCCATTTTTAGCCTTGTTTCTGCCTCTGCACGCCACACTCCAGCCATGCCGACCTGTCATTCTTCACAAGGAGACAGCTCCTTCCTCCACTTCACGCTACTGACTAAGTGCCAGCTGCGGAATTGTCAGCCTGGGTGTGAGTCCTTGTTCACACCCTTGAGTCCCAGTGGTAACTCAAGTTAGGAGACCTTAGGCAAGTCATATAACCTTTCTAAGACTGATTTTTCTCAGGAACAAAATGAAAACAATGATAGAGACCATATAGGACTGAATTAGCTGTCTGGGTGCTGTGTCTGGCACCCAGTAGGCACTTAAAAGTTAACTCCATTCTCTCTCAGTATGTCTTTGTCTTAACATTCTTCCTTCATCCCCAGTCCCTTCTCCACCTACAGACTCTTACTGAACTTTCATCACTTATGTTACCGAAATGTCAATTTGTCTAAGAATCCTTCCCTGGCACCTTCTGGCCATAGGAGTCCCTCTCTCCTCTGGGTTTCAGTAACCCCAGGCGCCTCTTCTCACATCACCTAGAAGTTATCCACACATGAATCTCTCTTCCCTGCCAGCTTTGCACTTGGATACCCTTGATGCTAACACTGTGCCAGGCACACCAAAGCCCTTAATAATGTTTGGTGAATAAATGATCATCAGCAAAAAAACATGAGTTGCAATGAACCTAATAAATTTGCTTTGAACAGCCACACATGGTGATCAGTTGCATGAGTGTATAAGCACATTCAGGTAGGCATCCAGAGAAGAGACACAAAAGACCTCTTAAGCTACCAATTATATCTTTTTATCATAAGATGGAAAACCAGAACATGATGATCTCATAAACCCCTAGAAAAGCAGTAAGAAAAGATACGGTAGGTTGGCAGATTCACCAAAGATTCTTACCTTTTACATACAATGACTATAAAATGCCAGAAAGAAAACATAATGAACAGACCTAGGAAATTTAAATGTTTAGGGTCTTATTGGCATCTATTGTGGCTTTATATGAATTTTCATTTTTCAGCTTTCTGGTTTTCATTATCATGGTTGGCTGCTGTTTATGCTATGTGCTTTTGCAGAGAGAACAAATGTAACCCAATATGCGAACACAGGCTCACTTAAAACTCTGTCCTTAAGCTTCTGCAAGATAGAAATGAATTTATAGCTAACAATGGCAATTGTGGAGGGATGGTACTATAAGACCATTTCCACTTTCCCCATTTCTATATTATTTGAATCATTTATAATAAACATGTATAGCTATATAATCCACAATGAAAATATTTGTTCATTTTCTTTTTTTAGCCAATATCTGTTATTTTATTTTATTT